GCCTTACAAGTGGTTAGTTATATTACTGAAGGAAATGTCTCTCCCTTCTGTAGCGACCTGTAACTGTGTGTAGATTCAAATAGATTCACAAGGAGGGGGCTGGGACCTTAGAAGCCCTCCCCTCACGGCCATATTGCAAGCTCACTCTTCTTCATCTCCCTCTTCCCTTCTCCTCCTCTCCCTTCCTTCTTCCGCTCTGTCTCTCTCTCTCTCTTTCTCTCTCTCGAGCGTGCTCTCTCCCACTCTCTTTCTGAAATATTGTCTGGCTGTAGCCCAGGCTAGCCTCAAACTCTGGATCTTCTTGCCTCAGCCTCCCTTAGTGTTGGTATAACAGGCCTGGCCCTTCGCTCCCAGCCCCCTCGCTTCCTGTCCTCCATCTCTCTCCCCTTTTATCTTTCTGGGTCTTCCTTTCTTTTCCTGCCCCTCTCACAACCTCACTCTCCTCTCTCTCCTCTTCAGTCCAGTAACCCTTATGCCCTCTTTGGGGTTTTTTTGTCTTTTGTTTTTGAGACAGGGTCTCACTGAGTGGCTCTGGCTGGCCTGGAACTCGGTTATGCCGTCTTGAAGGCAGGCAGAATCTTCCAACCCCCATCCTTGTCTCGAGGTGCTTTTCTGTTTCAGAACCCCTTCATTGTCCACTTCAGGGCCAGGCACTTTCCCAGGATCCACAAGGCGCCAGGAATGTGGGGCAGAGAGCAGAGAGGTCCCCAGGGGCCAGGCGGTGAGGACCCTCCAACCCCTCTGCTCCCAGCCTCTGGTGTGAACCTCACTCTACTCCCTGCCCTTCCCGCGGGGCCTTGAGGCCTCAGCTTGTCCTCTGCAAAATGGGCAAGCTTGCCTCTGTCCCACTCAATCTTCTAGGTCCCAGGGGACCGCATGCTCAGGAACATGAGCAGCCTGAACTGGTGGTGTGTATGAAAAGGGGTGCAGGTGCTGAGTTCTCACTCTGGGTTCCAAGCCTCCTTGGGGCCACATTCCACAGACAGATGTTGCCCACATCTGGAGTAAAGGAAGATCTGGGAAGTAGAGATTGTAAAAATGTGTGTGGTGAAGCAGTTCCTATGAACAAGAATTGTTAGAAATGGGGCTGAGGTGGCTGGAGAGATGGCTCAGGTTAAGAGCTCTTCCAGAGGACCCAGGTTCAATTCCCAGTACCCACATGGTGAATGACAGTTGTCCATAACTCCGGTTCCAGGGGTCCAATACTTTCTTCTGGCATCCACGGGCACTGCATGACACTGGTGCACTAACATACATGCCGGTATAATACTCATACACATAAAATAAAAGTAAATAAATAGGGGCTGGGCGTGGTAGCTCACGCCTTTAATCCCAGCACTTTGGAGGCAGAGGGAGGCAGATCTTTGTTGAGTTTGAGGCCAGCCTGGTCTACGTAGTGAGTTCCAGGACAGCTGGAGCTACAGGGAGACCCTGTCTCAAAAAGACTAAATAAATAAATAAATAAATAAATGTTTTAAAAGGAATGGGTCTGAGGTCCCAGGAAAATGACCACATAATCCAAAGCATTTCAGCAAGGGAAAAAGCTTTCCTTCAGCAGAAGGTGTCAGTCAGGCCTCTCTGAATCCAGCAAGCACACCTTGTTGAGATGGCATCTCCCTTTATACCTAACACTGAAGAGAGGTTGGCTGCCCCCTCATTAGTCAAGGCACAATATAAACTCAACAGCACAATATAAACGTGATTGGCTAATTTAAAGGGGGAAGAGGACATTATATTATAGTAAGAACCTTTAAAATTTAGGGACATAGGGGGAAGGTTCGGTGAGATGGCTCAGTGGTTAAGAGCACTGGCTGTTCCTGCAGAGGACCTGGGTTCAGTTCCCAGCATCCACATGGAAGCTAACAACTGTCTGTAACTCCAGTCCCAGGGGATCCGACAACCTCTTCTGTCCTCCACGGGCATTGCACGACATGGGTGCACTTACCTACATGCAGGCAGTACACACATGCACAGAAAATAAAAATAATAAAGAAAAATTTAAAAAACAAAAATGTAAAAAAGGAAAGCATTTTTTGTTTTATTTTATTTTTGAGACAGGATCTCCCTGGAGCCCCAGCTGTCCTCAAACTCACTATGTAGACCAGGCTGGCCTTGAACTCACAGAGATCCACCTGCCTCTGCCTCCCGAGTGCTGGGATTAAAGGCATGCACCACTACACCCAGCCCAAAAGAAGAATTTTTTAAAAAGATAACATGAACAGCTCCTGAGGAAGGATACCCAAGGTTGACCTCTGGTCTCCATGTGCACAGTCTCTCACACACACACATACATACACACACACACACATACACACACACAGAGGCATACAAAGACAGACAGTCACACACACAGAGGCACACACAGACAGAGGCGCACACACACACACATAGACACACACACACATTCAGAGACACACACACAGACAGAGACACACACACACAGACAGAGGCACACACAGACAGAGGCACACACACAGACAGACAGAGGCACACACAGACAGAGGCACACACACAGACAGAGGCACACACACACACATAGACACACACAGACAGAGGCACACACACAGACAGAGGCACACACAAACAGACAGAGGCACACACAGACAGAGAGGCACACACACAGACAGAGGTACACACACACACATAGACACACACAGATAGAGGCACACAGACAGTGGCACACACACACAGACACACACACAGACAGAGGCACACACACAGACAGAGGCACACACACACAGACAGAGGCACACACAGACAGAGGCACACACACATATAGACACACACACAGATAGAGGCACACACACAGAGGCACACACACACACAGAAACACACACAGACAGAGGCACACACAGAGACAGAGGCACACACACACAGACACACACAGATAGAGGCACACAGACAGTGGCACACACACACAGACACACACACAGACAGAGGCACACACACAGACAGAGGCACACACACAGGCACACACACACACAGACACACACAGAGGCACATACACACAGAGACACACACAGACAGAGGCACACACACAGAGACACACACACAGACAGAGGCACACACACAGGCACACAGAGGCACACAGACAGAGGTACACACTGAGACACACAGAGACACACACAGGTGCATACACACAGACATATGTACAAAAGTATACACAAAACAGAGGTATACATACACAGAGATGCATGCACACAGAGGCACACATACAGAAGTGTATACACACAAAGGTGTACACACACACATATACAAAGGCACACACACAAAGGTGGGTAGCAACCAGGAAATGACACCTGAGGTTATCTTCTGGCCCGCACATGTTTGGATGTACACACACACACACACACACACACACAGAAGAGCACAGATACAACAGAATGACACCAGGTGTAGTGGTGCACACCTTTAATCTCAGCATTCAAGAGACAGAGACAGGGGACTCTTTGAGAGTTCCAGGCCATCCAGGGTCCATGGTGACATGGTGAAACCTTGTCTCAACAAACAAACAAACAAGACTAAAAACAAAAAGGCGCTGGATGTGGTGCTGCACACCTTTAATCCCAGCACTTGAGAGGCAGAGGCAGGCGGATCTTTGTGAATTTCAGGCCAGCCTGATCTACATATGAGTTCCCAGACCGGGCTAAAGAAAAGAAAAGAAAGGCAATGGCTTTGGGACTATGGGACACAAAGGTGTTTGTGCGTATTGAAGAGTCCACAGCCCTGGGCATTCAGCCATGTGTCACCCTGTGAGTGAGAGACTGGCTCTTTCCATGTGAATGAACGTGTTACTCACACTCCGTGAGAGAAAGTCTGTGACAGTCTCTGGCTCAGTGTTTGGGAACCTGTGTGAGACTGTGCCTGTGTGTTCTGTGGCAGGGGAAGGGGGTCGTTGAGACCAAAACTGTGTGGCTGTTCTCTCCATGTGACCCAGAGTGGCTGACATACACTTGTCTGCTCCCCAGTTCCCTCTCTTCCCCAGAGCTCCCCCTCCCCGTCTGTTCCATCCTGGCCACGCCTCCACCCAACACCCCATGCTGTCTGCGCCTGCTACCTCTCACAGCACCCAGAGAGGCTGGTGAGTCTGCCTTGGTGGGAGCAGGCAAGGAACGTGATCAAGGTCCGGACTGGGGACAGGTAAAGGGTCCCCCTGTCAAGCCCATGCCTGCTGTGTCTTTCCCTTGTCTCTATTCTGAGTCTCTCTCTCTCTCTCTCTCTCTCTCTCTCTCTCTCTCTCTCTCATTTCTCTCTCCAGTTATTAACCTCATCACTCTCCCTAGATGACTTCTACATTTCCAGTTCTTACCCCATTCTTTGCCTCTTTCCCTTTGGGTGGTGGTTGTGCTTAGAAGGATTTTTCTGAGTATCTGTGGTCCTAAACACAGAAATAGCCCAGGGGTTAATACCTCTCTAGTACCTAAGTATTTGGATGCTGGGGGAAGGTTGTCCCACTGACTCTAGGTTTTATGTATACAAAGCTGGGAAAGTTTTAGAAGATTCCGGCTCCTGTTTGTAATTTGAAAACCCTTTGGGCTGGGAAGATGTGACCGCAGATGCGAGTTTCAAGTTCCCCTTCCAGGCTGGGCTGACAGTTTCTAACACCCACCCCCACCCTCCACCCCCGCCCCTCTCCAAGGCTGTCCCTGGTTCCCGAGTCTATAGGTCTAGCTTCAGGGTGACACTGACGCTTCTGCCTGGCACAGCTCTAGGGCAACCGGTTCCCTCAGCAAACACCCCTCCCTTCCATCTCCGCTGCCCCAGCAACACTTGGGGGCAGCCTGGGAATCACTTAGCGGATCTCAGCCCCACCCATCACTAGCGGCCCCGCCCCCAAATCCTCACGTGCGGAAGCGGGGCAGGAGACATGTTCTCAGAGTCTACCGGCATGGGCAGGTGAGCACTGAGATTGAAGTTGCAGAGTAGAGGGTAGAGGTGCTGACTGTTCCCTGGGCCCCTCCAGCCCAGCTGCGCCTGCGTGGCCTCTGGCACTCTTCGCGATGCCCCAGCGGCTGCTGCTGTTGCTTTGGCTGTGGGGACTGCGGTTCCAGAGGGCAGAGGTGAGGAGGCAAAGCTTGGGGCTAGGAGGGACGTCTGGAGATGGTCTTAAGTCTTCCCTCACCTCAAAGAGACTCCCTAATTCAGACTCTAGTCCCTCTTCCCCTGCAAATCCTCTTGATGAGGTCCAGCCACCCACTCCTTAATTTTTTTTTAAAAAAAATTTATTATTAAAAATATTTTATTATTTTTATTTTATGTGTATAAGTGTATTGCATGCTTGTATGTACGTGCATACGTGTCGTACAATGCCCACAGAGGTCAGGATGGGGAATACCCTGGAACTGGAGTTACAGATCATTGTTAGTCACCATGTGGGTGCTGGGATTCAAACCCAGGTCCTCTGGAAAAGTATCAAGTGTTCTTAACCGCTGAGCCATCTCTCCAGCTCTCTTTTAGTATTCTTAAAAGTTTGCAACGCTCAGGAAAGCAGGAGGCAAAGGCAGGTAGATTTCTGTGAGTTCGAGGCCACCCTGCTCTACATACTGAGTACCATCCAGGACAGCCAGGCCTACGTAGTGAGACCATGTCTCAAAAGAAATCTACCCACCCCAAACCCAAGACTTCTAAGAAGTTTCTAGGCCACCCAGGACTGCCAGGATTCCCATGCAAAGAAAGGGAGAGTCCCTCAGCGAACTAGCTGCCTGGGGGCGCGGGGGCGTCCTAGAGGGTCGGCCGGGGGGCGTCCTCCTTTCTCTCGTCCTCTAGACAGGCTCTGAGGGGCAGACGTCTGGGGAGCTGTACCTGCGCTGGGAACGTTACCGCAGCGAGTGCGGAGAGACCCTGGAGGCTGCTGAGCCGCCCTCAGGTGTGTGACTGGAGGGCGGAGAGACATGAGGGAAGGGCTGAGAGGAGGGGCTTGGGGTGAGCCCAAGATGGATGGGCAGGGTGTGGGGCCCGGCCTGAAGGGAAAAATCTGGGCGGGGCCTTGGTGGGCGGGGCCAGGACTTCGGGTAGCGGACCAGGATGGACTTTATGAATAGGAGAATCCTATTCATAGGGGTCGCGGGCCGAGTCTGCACTGATGTGGGCGGGGTTTGGGTGAAGCTTGGGAATTGATTTTTTCTAGGTGGGAATTGGAGGTTGGGATTTCCTTGGTGTGAGGGGTCTGGGGTGGGACTTGGAGGAAGGCTGGGACCTTGAAGTCTGGTAGAAGGAGCTTGTGGCCTGCAAGGAGCAGGTGGGCGGGGCTACAACATCCTTGCAATGAAGAAGATGTAAAAGCCCTGGGCTTCCTCCACCTTCTGGCTCCTCTGTCCTCTCCCTCAGGTCTGGCCTGTAATGGATCCTTCGATATGTACGTCTGCTGGGACCACGCGACAGCCAACACCACTGCCAGAGCGTCCTGCCCCTGGTACCTGCCCTGGCACCGCCATGGTGAGGTGCTCCCTGGACCATTTTATCAAAGGACACTATACTCCCGCAGCTCACCCAACCCCTCCTGCTCTTCTCCCTCCATCCCCAGACCGTTTCTTGTCATCAGTCTAGGTCTCCAATGTCTGTGTCCAGTCTCTTTTACATAACCCCTCGCCCCCCCCCTTTTTCCTCTTCTCTTTCTCTTGTTTTTTTGAGGCAGGTGCCTTCTGCCTCTTGGAGAGTTCCTCCCTCCCCCTCTTCCCTCTCTCTTTCCCTCTCTCAGACAGAGTTTCACTATGTAGTTCTGGATAGCCTGGAACTCACTATATTGAATTTGCAGACATCCACCTGCTGGAAATAATGCTGTGTACTACCACACCTAGCTCGCTCTTTATCTCTCTGTGTCTCTTTTGAAAAATATGTGCCAGGTATGGTGGTGCATGCGTTTAGTCTCTGCACTGGGGAGGCAGAAGCAGGCCAATTGCTGTGAGTTCAAGGCCAGCCTGGTCTCCATAGTGAGTTCAGGTCAGGTGGGGATACAGGGAGACCCTGTCTCAAAAAGATAAAATTTTTATTTATTTATTATTTTATTTCATGAGTGTATGGGTGTATTGCCTACATGTATGTAAGTGCACCTGTGTCATGCAATGCCCTTGGAGGTCAGAAGAGAGCATAGAATTCCCCTGGAACTGGAATTATGGACAGTTGTTAGCCACCATGTGGGTGCTGGGACTCAAACCCGGGTACTGTACAAGAGCAGTCAGTGCTCTTAACTGCTGAGCCCTCTCTCCAGCCTCTCTCTTTCTCTCGCCCTTCCTTCCTTCCTTCCTTCCTTCCTTCCTTCCTTCCTTCCTTCCTTCCTCCCTCCCTCTCGCTCTCTCTCTCTCTTTTTCTTTCTTTCTGCACCTGCCACAGCACAAGTGTGGAGGTCAGAGGAAAACTTACAGGACTCAGTTCTCTCCTTCTACCATATGGATTCCGGGGATTGAACTCAGATCATCTCTCTTGGCAGCAAGCTCGTTTATCTGCTGAGTCATCTTGCTGGCCCTGTTTTTGGTCTTTTGAAAACAGGGTCTCACTTTTTAGCCCAGGCTGGCCTTGAGCTCATGGCAAGCCTTCTGCATTAGCCTCCCACGTGTTGAGATTATAGGTGTGAACACTACACCCACGTGTCTGCCTCTTTGTCTTTCTCTGACCCTCTCTCCCTTATTTTCCCACAGTGGCTGCAGGCTATGTCTTCCGCCAGTGTGGTAGTGATGGCCAGTGGGGACCTTGGAGAGACCACAGTCAGTGTGAGAACCCGGAAAAGAACGGGGCTTTTCAGGTAAGAAGAGGTGGTTAGGGTTAGGATGTCTACAAGAAAAGGTGGTGGAGCTGGAGAGCTGCTCAGCAGTTAAGAACCCTGGCTGCTCTTTCAGAGGACCTGGGTTCAGTTCCCAGCACCCACATAGTGGCCACAACTGTTTGTAGCCCCAGTTCCAGGGATCCAACATCCTCTTCTGGCCTGGGAACGCATGTGGTACACATATATACGTGTAGGCCTCAGGGGCTTCAGGCCCATCCTGATTTGTGCTGTCTGGGTTGTCAATAACTGAAACCCAACTCAGACTTGCTTAGAGTAGAAGAAAAGAAAAGTGTGTTGGCTCGGGTGATTGAAAAACAGTATAAGGAACAGCTTCAGGTACAGTGAGATATGGGTACTCAAATGATATGGTAGGGTATATCATGTCTGTTTTTCTCTGTTAATCTGTTTTTCTGTGGGGCATGTAAAGCTAGTCCCCAGTAGCATTAGACTTCTTTTTAACATTTTTAAAAATTTATT